TGTCAAAAACAAGCTTTTATACCATCATCACAGCTGAATAGACACTAGTCCCACTGCAAAGTTTTGCCCAATTTTCCCTCAGTAAAATCCCTAGTGGGGCACTTTTCGCCGCAAAATTGCTTGCTTCTCATAAACCTGTTCTCACAGAAGGATCTGAACTGTTAGCGAACAATCAAAATGCAAATGCAGCTAACATTTTTCAATTTTGCAAGACATACTGCGGAGCACTGGAGATTCTGAAACAAGAAATCCTCCTCGAGCACCATCTGCAACACACCCAGAGCCTCGTTCGCAGCGAAGCCACTATACCCGTAGCCTAAAATATACATCACAATCTTCGCCAACAATATAACAACATCATCAATTCTCAGGCATTCGCATTAAGTTGCCTTGCCAGACATATGCCTCGGATAGGAGGTAAATATACGCCACAATCTCCAGCAGGAGCATGAACGTTGAGGAAATACCGGCTGACATAGGCTTCGCGGATCGTGATAGATTATAAAAGCAATCCAGCAGAAATCATCACAAAGCTATCAACATCATAAAGATGTGATTTAAATTATGATAATACATCCATTATATTATAGTTATATCATATAACAAGTAACGTGAAATATATAAAAAAAAAATGTAAAATTATAAGGATAAAGTGCAAGATGTAACATGTACGATATATCGTACAAGCAACACACTTGACAATTTTCGGGATTGTTTGTGTGTGTGTCCCACATTTTGTCCCGCACTTTCAACTCGGGAACCACAAAAGCTGGGCAGCTGAAATTTTGGTACAGTGTTCCCCGCCAGCGGGTGACGCGGCAAATTTAAATTCAGCCTTCCCGTACTTGCGGGTAACACGTATGGCCCCGTAAAAGTTTTTCGGGTAAAATCAGTATCTCGGGAACTACAGCAGCTAGGAAACCAAAATTTTATGGGTATGTTCCCTGACCACGTGCGACCCAGAAAGCTCAAATTCAACCTTCCTGTACCAGCGGGTAACACGCACGATCCCGTGGAAATTTTTGACGGTAAATTATTATCTCGGGAACCACGGGGTCTAGGAAGCTGAAATTTTAGGGCAATGACCCCCTGCCCACGCTCAACCTTGCCCACTTAAATTCAGTGTTCTGCTCTCTCGGGTATCCACCTACGGGCTAATGAAAGTTTTTACGGGTAAATTATTATCTCGGGAACCACGAAGTCTAGGAAGCTGAAATTTTAAGGTAATGACCCCCGCCCATTCTCAACCTTGCCAATTCAAATTCAGCGTCCCCGCGCTCTTGAGTATCACCTACGGCCTCGAGAAAATTTTGGCGGGTAAACTATTAACTCGGGAATCAGGGAAGATATTCACCCTTTAAGGTTTCGAATTCAGCTTTTATGCGCAGGTGCGTGAAATTTTTAACTATTTCCCAGTTTTAAATTATTTTTGCGCAGATTAAAGTGCAAAACAGTGAAAATCATTAGTATGCAATCGCTCCCTGAACTGAATTGCACAAAATGCATCCTCGCACCGGCTAGTCTGGTGCGCATTTGTAAATATTATTCGTCCCTAAATCCATATTTTAACAAACCTATTTATCAAAATTCTCCTTTGTTTCCCTTTTTCTTTTTTCCCATCTATACCGTAACCCAACCCTATACCCCCCATGGGATTTTGTACAAACACAAAAGCCAGTACTGACGTGTACTTTGATAAAGTGCTTGTGTTATGTATCCAGCGACTTAGCTGGATACAAAGGAGGTAAATATGGTGGGAACCTCCTCCTAGGGGCAGGGTCAATCCTCCCTATATAACTCCGGGTTTTCATCACTCTTGGTCTGGTCTGGTCGGGATGGTTCTTTTCGGAAATCGACGAAAGCAACACGGGGACTTCGACGCAGAACGATACCTCCACTCCCAGTTCAACACAAGCTCCAGAACAAAATTCGTCTTCACCATCTACGGCCCCAATTCGTCTTCCACCTAGTTTATCAGTCTTCGATCAGGTTTTTCTTAATTGTCATATCATTCAACTTATTTACTTTTTTGTTTACTCAAGTTTAGATAAACTTATTATTATAAACCAACGCTTCGCGCTTCATATTGCCTAGTCACAACGACCCCGTAATACCTCACAACTACGTATCGAAAACATTTACTCATTGCTATTTATTCATCTCGAGATCCACAAAAACTACAGGGCTGAAACTTTGGGAACTTAATCTACATGCGTGTACGGCGCCCCATTTCCGAAACGGGCGCTCCTGCCGCGTAGTACCCAAGTACGGGCACGCCAAAGTTTTTTCAGGCAAGTTGCAAACTCGGAAACCTGAGAAGCTAGAAGACTGGAAATTCACGGGGATGTTCCCGTCCAAATAGATATTAATGAATCCAAACCCAACTCTCGGGTATGCATGGTAAACACGCACGAGACCGTAAAAATTTTTTTTCAGTAAGTTGCTAACTCAGGGAAGCTAGAAAGCTGAAATTTTAAGGAGGTGTTTTCTGACAATTCTAGCGAACAGTCTTAATTTGTTTAGCTAGAAGCATTTGCCGGAAAAACCGATGCCGGTAGCGACAAAAACTGTAGGGAACTATGCAAAAAACGCATCTTGGCATGGACAGCCCGTGCGTTGATCTGTTAAAAAGTATCAGTCTATAGCCACTATTAAATACTACTCTAAGTGACTAAAACTTCGTCACCATGGTGCTTAGGGAGCTACCTTTGCAATGTGCCCCACGCAAGACAGGAGAGAGGAGATTCCGGCTGACGGACCAGCCTGGCATGTTCTTCTGTATGCTCCCTCTAAAGAAGTTTGTAATAGTGATGTATATAAGAAAGTGATGTATTCGTTAACAGTTATTAATGATCTATTAAAAAGTACCAGTCTATGGACACTATTAAATACAATTCTAAATGGACGAACAAACTAATAGTAGGAAACGAAAGAAAACCTAAAAAATATTACTAAATCAGTCCAAAAACAAATAAAAATGATGCAATTATAAAACACTATGATGTGATGAAGTTACTTTAAGTATAAAATATCAATAGAAAAAGCAGGATAAACAATGAAGAGGAATATTTCGGTCCATCCTATTCAAAATCACAACTGAACTTCGTCAGTGCCACGGTTACAGTGCTGATTAAGACTATTTAAAAAACAGGAGACTTGCTGGTGCGATCATGCGTTTTTGCGCAACATTCGCAGATTGCTAACAGCTAGAATGGTTCCTACGCTGTAGTTTAATATTTATACTCATATTGGCCGTGTTTTGGCTCTTCCCGCATGCAGGGGAAATGGCGCCGGCATGGATTCCAGTGTACATGATTACCAGTTTTTTTCCCCACGAAAGCTTGCTGTTTGAAAAAGTGCTTGAAGGAAATGAAAGAGGATTATGAAATCTGCAAAATGCACTCGCTGTTTGCGATAAAATTCATTATTTCTTACAACCATTTGCAGGGAATTTCACTTCAACACTAAATTAAGACAATACATGATCATACCTCAGCAAAGTTTCAGCCTCACACCTTATCCAACAAGCGAAAAAGCCACTTCACTACAAATATCTTTGAAGTGCTCTAAATGGTGGCGTAAGTGCAAACCGAAATTCAATTTAGGTATACAATTTTCCATATGAACGATATATAATCTGACAAAATTTAAGCTGCTTTTTTCTGGCTAGTTTCCAAGCTGGCACAGTGACAACTGCGAACTTCGACTCAACCGTATTTGCGGTAAAAGTGTGCCCGACAGCTGAATTTGAAATCTTTAGCTCATACATCTACAGAGAACACCCTTACAAAGTTTCAGCTTTCTATCTCACCTGATTCACGAAATCGTTCCCCGTCAAAGAAACGTAAATATTTTTTTCGGCGGTCTGTATGCGAGATCTAGGCGCGTATACGAATTAAAATGGGAGGGCAACACACAAGAAAAGAATATGTCCCAAAATTTCCAGCCCCCTAGCTTTCCTGGTTGCTAAACTGAAAATGAACGACTGCGACAATATGCGTTTTTGCTCACTGTAACAGCGCTATAGCGCTGCACAGCCAAAATGAATAATAAAATATGTAAAATGCAAGTAAACCCAGGCTGAAACGCACCAGGCGGGGCCGTGCGATCATGCGTTTTTGCACAGGACTTGAAGTACTCAGGTCATTAACTGCACGAATGGTTGT